AAATACTTTCGGTTAAATAGCAATAACATGAAGAAAAAGCACGCTGACAACAAAATCCCCATACTTCATCTTACTCGCTTCGTGTTGTTTGCCCCTTGGCATACCCAGAATGCATTGTAATATCGAGAGGGCCTGGTTACTGGTAACTCATTCATTATACCCAGAATGCATTGTAATATCGAGAGGGCCTGGTTACTGGCAACTCATTCATTTATGCAACTTATTGTAAATTTAGGTCGGATCGTTTGTTCATCAAACGGTTAAACCTAAATTTACCTTAAAAGCCGTTTATAAGTGTTTTTTTGAGCTTTTTGCTGCCACAGGAGGCCCTAGGCTTGCATCATTAAGCTTGACTAGTCGGCAGAGACAATCCTCTGGAAGAAATCAGAGGTGGAAAGCGATTTTTCGAAGACAATACTGACAATGGCTCCAAGTCACGGTTTGTTTTGAACTGGAGACATCATTGTAAGATCGCTTTCCTGGTCCATCTTTGGCAGGTAATTTTGGCAATATTTGACAACCAAAGAATGCAATTGGACCAATATTTTGCCTGTAGGTGCGGGGTAGCTCACACTTCTAAAATAATTCTTAAGAGAAGAATGCTGCAAGATTTATGTCCAAATTTTATCTCTTCCCGTGTGATGCATTTCGGTCGCGCATAGGAGTTTATTGTACTGGGTGCTCAAAAGAGCGCTGTTGAGAGGTCTGCAGTGACTTTGACAGAATATAAACACGGCAAAATGAGGACGTGTTATCAAAGGGGTTTGCAAGTGAAGTGGACTTTTTGCTAAAAAACATGTTTTGACGCTAAAAATTGAGCTGGAAATTAGTGTTTCCTGTAGTCCTCCAAACACAAATTTTGGCATTCACTTGTCAGCAGAGTACTGTTTTGTGCCTTTTTTACCTCGTTGGGAAATCATTAGAACTTTAAGATCGACAATATTTACCAGTGAGTTCTCACTAACAATTTCAGGGCTATAGTTTTCTATTTCTGTAACTTATGAATTTTAGACGCGTCGTTCGAATTCCAACGATATTCTATAGGGCAGTCGCCAGAGGGTTAAGTCAAAGTCTCTTGATAAATTCTGGTTCAAGTGCAATGCTTTCGGCGTCAATAAACTTGTAAAGTAAATTAAGCTTATATTATAATTCATATTAAATCCAGTTTATTTATTAATGCTATTTTTTCTTACAGTGTAAAAGTTGTTGATTGTACGATTTTAGTCAATAAGCTTATCACTCGATACTGATGTTTGCCCGGCCTGTAAACAACAATAATCTTTATTCATTCCGTTTTTTTTTTTTTTTTTTTGTAATTTGCTTTCTGAAATCTCAGTAACTATGAGATAAATAAGTTACAGAATGGAAAATGCTTGTACGGTTTTTATGCACTCGTTAATGCGTATCAGAAAACTCAGACTACGTTGACACGGAACCGGTCAACTTTGAGGACACCTCAGTTTTAGAACAATCCCACTGTTCACACGGAACCGTCCACCTCGCCCGTTTGTTTTTTTACACGAGGGTCTCAATGGGGTGGTACGAATCACGACTCACGGCTAMAAATTTGGCTATTTCACGACTCACGACTAATTTTTTCGAATCACGGTTAACTAGATTACTTTCAGAAATTTTTGAAATGAAAACAACGTTTTTCATCACTTTTTCATGTAATTTGTTTTGGGCTAGAGATACAGTGAGTGTGGGAGCACAGTGTCCCTTGTACGTTACAGACACTCAGTTAATTTTAATTTTTTATTTCAAATGTCACATTTTGTCCATGCCCTGACTTGTCTGGGAGACCTTGTTGGTAGGTGCGATCCATTAGAATTTCTGGGGGAGGGGGGAGAGTGGAAGATTTTGGGGAAAAATTCCTGCACGGCCCGAAGAGCCGAAAATTTTTTTTTTTCAAGTCAAAATTTTGAAAAAATATCCACTAAAGCTTTTATTTTTTAAATTTACTAAAACAAATTACAAGCGCGCGCCTGGAGTTGACTGTCCTTCTGAGGAACAATACTGAATCACGGCTCACACTATAAAAAATATTCACGCCTCACGGCTAATTTTTTCTCATTTTCACGACTCACGGCTAATTTTTCAGCCCTTTCACGGCTCACGGTTAACCCCATTGAGACCCTCTTACACGTCTCAAATTGTGCATAAAAACCGTACGCGCGCATTTTCCATTAAGTAATCTCTATATAATGTATTAATAAAATGCCTACAATGCCATAGAAAATGCTGCAATATCATCTCTTTATTATTGAAATGACTTGGAAATAATAATTGTTGTGTTTTTAATTGCCCCCTGTTCTATATGACGTCATATCAGGTAATTTTTAGATAAATGATAGATCTAGATCTAGATAACCAGTCAAATATCATATCTAGGCATTAAATGCTCTCCTGTGATTTTATAGTTTTTTGTATCCATGGTAACGAGTGTGACATCATAATTGTGATGACGTCATTTCCTATAGTGTCTTTGTCGTCTTTGAATAAAATTGAATCCAAATCTTACTTTTTTTCGTCAAAGTCCGAAAGTTTCAGAGTTGTAGCTGTCTTGGTTCGAAAGTTATTGGCATTTTACGGTCGAGGTGAGCTCAAAAGTCTCACGTGCATCCGACAGCCTCTGCGCGATTGTCTCAAAAACAACTAAACTAACTATCTTTGATTTTGAACCAATCAGAAAGCAACTTTTAACATGGCAATTATTTCTAAAAAAAAGAACGATCGCAAAGGTTCACGGATACACATGGTCCTTTAAATTCGAACAACGTGTAATTCTCAAAATGGAAAAGAACAGTTCCTCGGTACCTCTATATATTGGAAGATGGATAATCGTACGCGTACTATTTAACAATTAGACCTCGAGGGTGAGTGGAGGCCCGAAGGCCAAATGGTCTATCCGCTCGCAGTCCATGAGGCCAAGAGATCTAATTGTTTTAGTATTACCATACTAGATGGACAAAAAATGAATGATAAATAGTCTATAAATGACTAAATGTTTTTATTGCAAAAAATACGCAAGTCGAGGACTATTGAAAATAGACGCCGAATAGCGTAGCCAATTAGAACGAAGGATTTGCAATAGTCTACTAGAAATAGTATTGGTAATACTAAATATGAGATATACGGAGTTCAAATGTTGAAATTTTAATTCAGTGTTAGACAGCATCTTCGAGGATGAAATCTGTAACAATACATCCTCAAGTCCATCCTTATACCTAAATTGAATAAATTGCCCTATGGTATGGTTACGTTACTCTAAAAAATACTAAAGGATTTTAGTTCGGCATCATGGGCTATCAGCTTGTAGTCGCCCCCGAGATCTAATTTTATTTAGTATAAACATACTAATGGTCTATCACTCATACTGCGCTGTGATGGGCTACTCTACTAATGGTCTAATTTGTGATAGACCACTTGCGGGAAAATCAAAATGGCGGCATCATAAATTATTTTAAGGATATTTCAATTTGTTTTCATTATTTGACCGATAGTATGTTTATACTAAAACAATTAGACCTCTCGGCCTCGTGGACTACGAGCTAATAGTCCATTCGGGACTCGGCCTCATGGGCTATTAGCTCGTAGTCCACTCGACCTCGAGGTCTGATTGTTAATATAGCCGCCAGAGGAGATTAGAGTGACTGCATACCAAATAAAATGTAGATGGGCATGATGAGCAATCGTTGATATATGATGTACATCAAAACTCGGTACCCTAAAGTTCTACTTTGGGAAAGAATATTATCAGTCCTATTAAAATTTCGAGTCTTTCTGAGCATCTATGCTCTAAGATGAATGTGAATGGGCTCGAGGGGGGAGGGGTGTGGGACTATGCAAGTAGTATTAGCGGGCGAGTTGGGGCCGGATTTTCATTGGAAATGGCATTGGAAAAATGGAAAAAAATGGTAGAATACTAATGAGACGTTGGTAGAATACTAATGAGGTGCCCCGCATTGGTAATTTATTCGAATTGAGGTCTTTTGTACACTTAATCCCCGAACAATAGTCCTTTTGTTCTCTATTGTTTCGCCTAAGCGGTTATTTATTGNACTGTAGGGATAAAACCTAAAGAAAAATCTTTGACATCGAGATTACAAGAAGAAACAGTAGCTCAAGTATTAGCAACCTATCAAGATTTTATTGCAATTCCATATCACGACAGCTATCGAACGTTGTGCGAAGAAATGCATGACAGCTATCTCATTGGTAAGAGTTCCCGAGATGGAGTGTCAAAAGAGAGCTTCGATGAACTGGTGGATGTGCTTTCGTCCGTCTGATTTTTCAGTGAAAACCTTTCAAGTTTAGTGCTGTTGTGCAAATAATGAACAATGAACGTTCTTGTATAATGAAAGCAAGAATACTACAGTAGAAGTTTTTGAAGAAGCTCATGCTGTGTTAGAAGAATCTTCACTGAAGATTACACGATCAAAGAAAGATGCATTAATACTATTTCTGTGATGTGATGCATGTTTAAATGAAAGCAAGGATTAATCAACTGACAAGAAAATGGTGTGTTATATTTATAAGAAGCGCATAGCTTTATGTCAAGGTTGAACGATCGTATAAATTATACTGGACAGAGAAAAGGTTTATGATTGCCTTTGTTCTTAGACAATAGATCACCTGCTAAAGGAGTTTGAATAACCAAAGTAATGTTTTTTAGCCTTTTTTATATTTCTAACTCCTGGAATCTATATTTCAATTCTTTCATATTGTTTTAAAAGTCACAAATTACTTGGAAAAATTCTGAATGGTCCGGAAAGGCCCGGAAATTGGTCCGGAAAGGCCCGGAAATTGGTCCGGAAAGGCCCGGAAATGTCCGGAAAGGCCCGGAAAAGCCCGGAAAAGTCCGGAAATGTCCCGAAGCGCTCCCGGAAAGAGTCCGGAAATCTTTCGGAATAATAAACCATTTCTGTAAAACATTTTATTCCATAAACTAAAAGGTTTACTTATTACATATAATATATTTTTTGAAAATATGAATGGATCATTGTTGACCTATTTTTATTTCCATTGATACATCATCGTATTTGCGAGTATTATCAATATATCATAGTTTGAAACCAATTTAACAGAGAATCTTGTGACTTGTGATGCACTATGTTACACCATCTACTGTAGCTTATAGTATATTGTACCTCCCTTTGAAAAAAGGAATAAAAAACAATGAATTGATCTAAATGTACGTTTCTATTTTACATTTGATAAGTTTTCTTATGTGGCATCGTTTCACATGTAGAAAGAACGTAGAAACTGCTATTTCTAGACCAACTAGACTTTAGTTGCAAAGTATAGATTAAACCGATTTTTAATTCTTTCATCCACTACGATTTTATGAAATCATATGTTTAAGAATTCATCTCGCCTGCAAGTGCCTCTTGGACGATTGTTTTAACAATTGGATCATCTTCATGGAGGTTTACCCATTTAAAACTCCCATTACACAGGTTTYTTATTTTAACGGGCCAGTAAAGTTCACCCCCTAAGCTAACGCCCGGCTGATTTGGGTGATGTGGATTGCGGGAGGTTTTATACATCTCCACTATGGTATAACCTTGAGGTATCGACTTGACATATTTGACATCATTCGTGTAATTTTGCCATACATTTATAACAGCATCGGACCAGAAAACTGAAGGTGCCCGTGACTGACTAACATCAGCTGATGATTTTGCTCTTTCACTCTCTTCATTAGCCTTGTTGATAGAAGAATAAACATGACATTGACTGAAAATGTCTCCAATAACCTGTTTGTCTACAGGTGTATCTGGCTTATTATCCACGAGCAAATAGCCGAAAGGTTTTTGCGTTTCCCTGTAAAAGGYTTCCATGAATCGATTTCTTTGTTTATCAAACATTCTCTCTGCAACAATCCCAATTTGTTTTCTATCACTAGGACTTCGAAAGAGAGCGATATATTGAGCATTGCGACTTATATCAGTGTTGTACTTTCCTTTAGGGAACATGTTTTGCAAAAGAAGAATAACGCTGGCGTTTCTATGACGACCTTGTGTAAACAATCGCGAGACGATGGGGCTATCAATAGCTTCAGCCATTAAATCATCAAGGATGATAAGGTTATTGAAGCTTGAATCAATTTCTCTTAAATCTTCGGTAAAGTTAGGCAAGCCTTGGTGAAATGAAATTTCCTTGTTGAACATTCTCTTCATGATCTGATAGGTATCTTGCCACTG